AAAAAAAAAAAAAAAAAAAAAAAAAAAAAAAAGCATCTTGATCTGTACCCACTGTGCACATGGCTGGGGAAAACTCCCAGAAGTCCACTGCAAGATTATTTTTTTTCCCTGGGTTGACAGGGAAATATGACAAGTTTAAGAAGATTCGGACTGTGGCGACTGCCTGACTCCACAGAAAAGCTTTAGTACTGCAGGAGTTTCTTCTTTGTTTTCTGCTTGCTTGCCCTGGCTGCTATGGGACCAGGCACTGGAAGTGAATGAAGGCAGCACCTTGTGCTTCCAGCAATTGTCAGTCTTGGCCTGGCATCATCAAAGATTTGAGAATCTCTTTTTACAGCTGCACCATTCTTTTAACAGTAATTTCAGCACATGCTGTGTAGCTCTGAGATGCTGGGCTGGATGAATCGTGCTGAACTAACCTGAAACCCACTGAATCCAGATGACATCATATCTTTGTGGGGCTGGAGTGAATTCCTGGAGGCTTTTGCAATAATACATTTCTACTCTGTCCTCCTCGTCCTGCAGGTAGTTCGGGACCTCAGCCAGGAAATTTTCCATCATATCCACCAGTTCCACACTCTTGAAAACTGGTAACAGGACATGCTTGCTGATCCGACCTATCCCACAGCCACAGTCCAGGGCGCGGTTGGTGCCAGCTTTCCCCACCCCCTGTGAAACACAAGAAAATCATTTGAAATCTGAAAAAATGCTACCTGAAAGATCACAGCAACCATGGTACCAGCTATGGCTTTTTGTCCACCAAGCCTAGTATCTTGTCTCTTTACCTGTTCAGGGCAGCTGCAAGATTGGTGAGAACTCTGAACGCTATCAGTACACCTTCGGATAGCTATTAAGCTGCTAGACTGCATTCCCAGATAATGCCTGGATGCATTTTTCCTCCATAATTACTTTCCACAGCTTGGAGCAGAATCCAGTGACCTGCAGAACCTCACACTGAGTGTCCAAGCCAGTAGGTAAGAGCAGTGAAGACAAACCTCCCCTTGTGCTCCAGCTGGCATATGCTATCCCACCCCTGAGCTGACATTGTCTGCACAAAGCTCTCCTCCTCAACAGCCAGCAGCCACTGCTCATTTGGAGCTGCAAAACAAAGGCTGCAGTCGATGGGATTTCTTTATTGTAGCCCTGCATTTATTGCTGTTTTTGCTTGCTATAAGAGAATATTTCACAAATTCCTAGCTCTCTCAGAAGAACCACTGGTCTTCACAAAGTCCTTCCAACTCCATCGGTCATGTATTTATATCTTACAGTCAACTGCGTGACTAGGTCAGTCTTGTTAAATTCTGAACCCAGTAAAGACTCAACAAAAGAATAAGCATATACCAAACACTGCACACAAGAAATAGATATTCTGTGCTCCAAAAGTTATAAGGTATCCGTGGAAATCTCTGCAGAGACAGAGCGTCCTTGTGATCTGAGCACAACTTTCAAAACAAGTTGTGTTTGAACAAAGATCTTGGAGACATAGCTAACTTACAACACAAAAGTTTGGACTGGAGCATATTCAGAATTTCTTCTCTAAACATAGAGACAAGCAAGATGACTGAGTAGATTTTGCTTAACTGCTATTTTTTTATTCCTGAATATCATCTCTGGATAGGGATCAGACAAGAAAAAATTGTGGCACAAAGGATACATCTGTGAGAAAATAATGAGTTACTGTAAAAGGATCTTCATAATGAAAGCTGTATTTCACTCCTAAAGCTTTCATTCTAGCTATAAAGAGTCTCTTAAGAGCATGCTGCTGTTGTGTAAAACAGAAATTTTAAGTCTGTACAGGCACTGGCCATGGAATTGGAGCTCCCCTGGCCAAAGTTATCTGTTAAACAAATATATTAAAAGCAAATGTAAACAGCTTTTCCCTGTCCCTGGAAGTGAGAGCTGAAGCAAAACCTATGGGCCAAAGTCCCTGCTACAACTTCATTGCTCTTAAGTGAAATAAGTCCAGGAAGGGTCTAGCTCTTTCTACTTACTGGGAGACCCCTCCCCCCCCCCCACCATGTAATGACTAAGCATAAATCATGTAACTCACTGCTTTTCTGGCCTTGCTTCAGTGGGTAATTCAGTAGATTATTAAGGTCAAAGGACAATATTGTCAGTGACACGACTATGAATAGCTCAGCTGAACATCTACAGTTACATGGAGTAACTGTAGAAAGAGCACAAGGACCTGAAAGGCTCTCACCAGCCTCTGGAGCTGCTGGTCCCAGTCTGTATACCTAAGAAGATTAATCTCCTGATGTGTGCAAGAGTCCACAAGCCTTCAACCCCTATTGGACTCTGGAGACAACCTGTTTGTAGTTAGCCAGAAAATGTGAGCTATTCTTCATTCACGGGCTGCACTTAGGAGCACACGGCTTTTACTGAGGACCAGACTAAGCTGTAGCAGAGAGTTCATGAGAAGAGAAGGAACTGTGTATTCACAAGGTCAATTCCCATACTGTTTGATGGCAGATACATATAGACCTAAGTTGATGCAATTAAGTACAACGCTTCAAGAATGCTGGTGAGAAAGCAGGAATTGTTTACTAAAAAAGCTAGGAAAAATTAGCCTAAAAGCCATACAACTCTGACTTTGGTACCTGTGTTTCAGAGAACCTATAATCACAGCACCTTACCAAACACTGGGAATTCATCTCCTAGGAGAGCATCACAGCAAGGACCTGTGATGACACATCTCCATTTACCATCAAGAAGGAAAGGAAAAGCAACCATGAGAGCTGAGGCTCAATCCCATACTTTACTGACAGGGAGCAAGAGTACCAGGCAGTCAGACGAGAAGCCCTGCAAAGCACCACAGCACTGTTTGCAATGAAAATGTTGACATAATTCCATGTTCAGCTAATATATTTTCAGTTTGGGAGTGCTCGGAGCTTTGACAGGGTATTAACATTTTCTTTGGAAGGCAATCATTTTCCCAAAAGCCTAATTGAGTTGAAAACTGGACTTCTTATTTAAAGAAATAGCGTAAGTGAAAATTTTAAGCCAGAGCAGGCTTCAAAATTTAAGATTGACTGCTTCTCTGCTTACATGCTTCCTGTTACTCTGAATCACTGTCATTGAGGACATGCACACACCCAAACGTTCTGCCGTAGAACTGAATAGGGCACTCACAAAAGTTCATTAGGTATAAAAGATCTGTGGGATATGTTTTGATGGTGCTACTTCAGGTCTTGGAAGGGCAGGAAGGCAGTATAGATACAAAAGGAAAACAAAGAAACCACAGTTCAGTAAATAGTTAAACAGTTTTCTTTCTGAATTATTTATATAAATATCAGGCTTTGAACAAAATCTTTTCCATCTCCCTGATCAAACAGAAGAAAAATCACTTTTCATTCAGCAGGTCCTCAATTAGACAGCTGAACCAAGGCAAGACAGGGCAGAAAGGAAGACAGTTTTTTGGGGGTAGAAAGGGAGCTGTAAGGACAATATAATCCCCATCTGTACTATTTCACACACCTGTAGATCATGAATGTTCCTGAATTAATGTTTTTTTTT